CTCTCCCTCTTCACATCCAAGTTCATCGACGTGTCCCTCCTAGTCATCGTAGCCCTCCTCATCCTCCTCACCCGCATCATCATCAGCAACGGCATTGTCCTCCTCGCCGTCATCATCCCCGCCCGCGTTGCCCCGTGGCCCTCGTCGTCTTCTTCTTGTTCGCCCTCCCAGCAATGTTCATCTTCTTCGTCGTCCTCCTACTCTTCTTCCTTAGCAACCTCGCTCCTCCTCCTCACCGTCCACCATGTGTTTGTCCTGATCATGCCTCTCTGCCGCAGCTACCTCTCCGTCCTCGCCCTTTTCGCAGTTTCCTTCCACCTTGTCTTGCTCGTTGTTTTCGCTATCGCTATCATCTTCGTTTCCTTTGCCCTCCTGTTGCCCCCCTTCGCCGTCGCCCCCCGCCCACACCCCCGCCCCCCTCAACGTCCTCACCGACTCCCCATCCCTCCTCATTGTCCCCCTCGCGCCCTTATTGTTCTCAAATCACAACATCATCCCCCCCTTGTATCCCCTCCTCTGCCTCCCCCTCCCTCCTCCTCGTCCTCGCCCCGCTCATCCGTCTCCTCCTCATCCTCCTCATACTCCTGATACCATTACCCGTACTCACTCCCTTCCTCCTGTCTTACATCCGCCATTATCCTCCTTTGCCGATTCGTTTTCCGCGCCCTCGTCCGAGCCCTCGATCTTCTCAATGTCATCATCCCCATCCCCTTTGCCGCTCCTCATATGTATGTTCCTCGTCCTTCCCGCCCTCCTTGTCTTCCTCCTCGTCGTCCTGCCGCCTTTTTCTCGTCGTCTTCGTCGCCCCCCATCCTCCTCTTCCTCTTTCTCCTTGCCCCCCCCCCCCATCAACGTCATTATTGCCGTCAGTATCGGACGACAATTCGCCAATACATTGTTTCTCGGCAGCCAGACCGTGATCCTGCGTGCGTTGAGCCTGTAACATAGCCGCGTTGTGTACGTGTCAATTGTACACGATTTAGACACTTTTTAGGCACGTTAGACACGAAACGCGTTAGACACTGGAGATATGTTAGACACGGGTGAATTTTACACACGAGTTAGACACTTGGCCACCGCGCTCGGACGGGAGCCACGAGTTTCTAACGCGCGTCTAACACTACATAATTTAGACACTCGAGCACGGCGCCTCGACGGGAGCGCTGAATTTCTAAATCGCGTCTAACCCAAAATAGACACGTCTTCCCCCTCCAAATGGACCGGACCAGGCTCCCGGGGGAGGGGTTTGGGGAGGGGGAACATCTCACACGCCGATGAACGTGTTGGGGCCCTCGAGGGCTATGTACGGACCCTCTTGGAGGCGTCTTGGACCGTCTGGGAGCGGCTTTGGGGGGCTCTAGGGCCGTGCAGGAGCGGTGGTCACCCCCAAAGGCGCACGTGTGAAAAAAAACGTTTTACAAAGGAAACGAGCGATTTTTTGCGTCTAGAGGGCCTCTTGGGGGGAATCTTGGATGCCTGTGGGGGCGTCTGGGGAGGCCTCGTGAGCCGTCGGGAGGTCGTCGTCGATGTTTCTGATCGCTCTTGGACCGTCTGGGACCATGTGGAGCTTCGGGGAAGCAGCTCGGAACGCTCCTGGAACGCTCTTGGGGCCGTTTTCGGAGCCCTCTTGGGCCGTCTTGGACGCCTGTTGGCCCATCTTGGGCCCTCTAGGGGTCTGTGGGGGGCCCTCTGCGAGGCTTCTGGGGCCGTCTGGGAGCGGGTTTGGGGGCCTCTTGGGCCGTCGGAGAGCATCGGAAAAATCCAAAGTTGAATTTCTAAAAAATGTACATTTCACAAAGGGAATGGCCCAATTTTGGCGTCTAGGGACCCTTGTGGAACGCATCTCGGACGCCCTCGGGGGAGCTCGTGGGGACCTCTTCTGCCGTCGAGGACGCCTCGTGGCCCGTCTTGCGGCAAACTTGGACGTCTTGGAGCGCTCGTGGGGCGTCCCAAACCCATTTCGAGGCCACCAGACGCGTCCCTACACGAATTCCACGTGTTTTTCCAAGTTTTTCGAGAGCGGATGAGACCTCCGGGGGGTTCCGGCCCGTCCGGCCGGACCCCCCCCCCCTCCAAATGGACCGGACCGGGCTCCCAGGGGAGGGGTTTGGGGAGGGGGAACATCTCACACGCCGATGAACCCCAAGGGGTCGGCGGATTTTGAATACCCGGAGCCAACTGTAGGCCACTTCGTGGTCTTCGAGTTCCCAGAACTCCATTCTTGGGCATGATTTTGAATGCCTGGAGCCAACTGTAGGCCACTTCGTGGTCTTCGAGTTCCCAGAACTCCATTCCTGGGCATGATTTTGAAAGCCCGGAGCCAACTGTAGGCCACTTCGTGTTCTTCGAGTATCCAGAACTCCATTCCCTGGACACATTTTGCATGCTGATGCAGGCTGAGGCTGAGGCTGATGCAGGCTGAGGCTGAGGCAGGCTGAGGCTGAGGCCGAGGCTGAAGGCAGACTGAGGCTGAGGCTGAAGCAGGCTGAGGCTGAGGCTGAGGCAGGCTGAGGCTGAGGCAGGCTGAGGCTGAGGCTGAGGCAGGCTGATGCTGAGGCAGGCTGAGGCTGAGGCTGAGGCTGATGCAGCTGAGGCTGAGGCAGGCTGAGGCTGAGGCCGAGGCTGAAGGCAGACTGAGGCTGAGGCTGAAGCAGGCTGAGGCTGAGGCTGAGGCAGGCTGAGGCTGAGGCTGAGGCAGGTTGATGCTGAAGCAGGCTGAGGCTGAGGCTGGGCTGAGGCTGAGGCAGGCTGAGCTGAGGCAGGCTTAGGCGAGGCCAAGGCTGAAGGCAGCTGAGGCTGAGGCGGAGCAGGCTGAGGCGAGGTCTGAAGGCATGGCTGAGGCTGAGGCGTGAGGCAGGCTGAGCGCTGGAGGCCTGAAGCATGCCCTCGGAATGAGCTGAGGCGGAGGCAGGGGCTGAGGCTGAGGCTACGAGCGGCTGATGCCGAGGAAGTGGGGCCCCCTGAGGCTGAGGCTGAGGCATGCTGAGCTGGGCGCAGGCGAGGCGGAGGCCCGAGGCTGAAGGACAACTGGAGGCGCGTGCTGAGGCAGGCTGAGGCCGAAGGGGTATGCGGGAGCGCAGCAGGCTGAGACTGACGCAGGCTGAGGCTGAGGCTGAAGCAGGCTGAGTCTGAGGCTGAGGCAGGCTGAGGCTGAGGCTGAGGCAGGCTGATGCTGAGGCAGGCTGAGGCTGAGGCTGAGGCTGATGCAGGCTGAGGCTGAGGCAGGCTGAGGCTGAGGCCGAGGCTGAAGGCAGACTGAGACTGAGGCTGAAGCAGGCTGAGGCTGAGGCTGAGGCAGGCTGAGGCTGAGGCTGAGGCAGGCTGAGGCTGAGGCAGGCTGAGGCTGAGGCCGAGGCTGAAGGCAGACTGAGGCTGAGGCTGAAGCAGGCTGAGGCTGAGGCTCAGGCTGATGCAGGCTGAGGCTGAGGCATGCTGAGGCTGAGGCCGAGGCTGAAGGCAGACTGAGGCTGAGGCTGAAGCAGGCTGAGGCTGAGGCTGAGGCAGGCTGAGGCTGAGGCTGAGGCTGAGGGCTGAGGTGAGGGGCGCCCGAGGAGGGTACTGAGGCTGACTGAGGGGCAGCGAGGCAGACGATGAGGCCAGGCTGATGAGGAGGCAGGCAGAGGCAGGCTGAGGCTGCGGCTGAGGCAGGCTGATGCTGAGGCAGGCTGAGGCTGAGGCTGAGGCTGATGCAGGCTGAGGCTGCGGCAGGCTGAGGCTGCGGCCGAGGCTGAAGGCAGACTGTGGCTGAGGCTGAAGCAGGCTGAGGCTGAGGCTGAGGCAGGCTGAGGCTGAGGCTGAGGCTGATGCAGGCTGAGGCTGAGGCAGGCTGAGGCTGAGGCCGAGGCGGAAGGCAGACTGAGGCTGAGGCTGAAGCAGGCTGAGGCTGAGGCTGAGGCTGAAGCAGGCTGAGGCTGAGGCTGAGGCAGGCTGATGCTGAGGCAGGCTGAGGCTGAGGCTGTGACTGCGACTGCCGTTGCCACTGCGACTGTCATCGCGAATGCGATTACGACTGCGAGAACAGCAGAATTCTACAACTGGATTCTCATCTGAATCTCAAGGGGAATGCTTCCAGATATGCTCCTACACATCGCTGTCAGGTTGCTTTGCCGGGATCATTCAACATCCCCGGACTTTCGGAGCGTCGGGGGCAGCGTCGGGGCGGCGTGGTGTCTGCGTGTGTTGTCCGCTTCCGGGGAACAGCGAAACATGTCTACCCCTGGATTCCGTATACCTCCTCCTCCTCCTCCTCCTCCCCCTCCTCCTCCTCCTCCTCCTCCTCCTCCTCCTCCTCCTCCTCCTCCTCCTCCCCCTCCTCCCCCCCCCCGTTTGCAAGTGTCGGTGCAGGGCCAGAAGACGCGTCGGTGTACACAGAGTTCGGCGCCCTGCCTCGCCGGAGCGGCGTGTGGCGCGGGCACACGGGGGGGGGGCCCTGCGATGGCAGTGTCGTGCGCGCGCGGGCGCGGCCTCCCCGCGGCCCCGAATGGTCGCGGTCCGAGGCAATCTTGTCTAGTGTCACCTCCTCCTCCTCCTCTCTCCTCCTCCTCCTCCTCCTCCTCCTCCTCCTCCTCATCCTCCTCCTCCTCCTCCTCCCTCCCCTCCTCCCCTTCTCCTCTCCTCCTCCTCCTCCTCCTTCCTCCTCCTCTTCCTCTCCTCCTCCTCCTCCTCCTCCTCTCTCCTCTCCTCCTCCTCATTCTCCTCCGCCCTCTCCTCCTCTCCTCCCTCCTCCTCACTCCCCCTTTTCCTCCTCCTCTCCTCCTCCTCCTCTTCCTCCTCTCCTCCCCTCCTCCTCCTCCTCCTCCTCCTACCTCCGCCCTCCTTCTCCTCCTCCTCCTCCTCCCTCCTCCTCTCTCCTCCTCCCCCTCCTCCTCCTCCTCCCTCCTCCTCCTCCTCCTCCCTCCTCCTCCCTCCTCCCTCCTCCCTCCTCCTCCTCCTCCTCCTCCTCCTCCTCCTCCTCCTCCTCCTCCTTCGCGCCTTCGGGCAGGGGTCACCCCTGCGTGCAGCCGACCCAGCAAGAGCGCGGCCCGCAACGCCCAGCGCCGGGGGCACGTGCAGGTGGACGGCGCACGGGTGGACTCCTCCGCCGCCGCGCCCCCCGCGGGCGCGGTGCTCGAGGCGCTGGCGGCGGGGCGGGGACGGGGGCCCAGTTGATGCAGGGATCACGCGGGGGGGGATGGGGCTCAGGGGGGGCGAAGTTTCGAGGCTCGAGGTTCTCGGACGTCTTCGTCGGTTCTCGGCGGTTTCCCAGCCTCGGGCTGCCTTCCAGCGGCTGCGCCTCGCCGAGAGCGTTTCCGGGCTGCCCGGATCGTCCCGAACGGCCGCCGGAGAACCCGGCTGTGACCCGAAAGCCAAACGGCTCATGGGCAACCTAGGAAGGGGATACGTGCGCTCAGGGGGTGGGATGTATCGACCCCGAATCGCCCATTCATCGCTGACAGGGGCCGATAACCCACCAGGCCTAGAAGCGTGCGGATGCGCTGTTGGGGGCTTATCGCTGATTGATCGACGACGATGCATCATCGGTTCCGGCTCGATACTTCCCCACCGAGCCGGTCCCTCCCTGATGCTGCCCCTCACTGCCGGGGGGGGGGCTGGCATGGGAGCCGGGGGGGAGGGCTGATGGAGTCCGGCTGGCATGGATGGTGGGGCTGGCGCGAGCGCAGCAGACAGAGGGAGCGGGTCAGTGGCAGTGGGCCGAGCTCTGCGAAGCCATGCAGCTCAGGCGCATCTTTGGTCGGCACTGCCCGCGCCGTCCCGCCAACGCCGACGCCGACGCCGACGCCGATTACGACGACGACGACGACGCCGACGACGACGACGACGCCGACGACGACGCCGACGACGCCGACGACGACGGCGACGACGCCGACGACGACGACGACGACGACGGCGACGACGGCGACGACGACGAGGCGAGTCCAGCCGTGGCGGCGCGGCCCCCCCCCCAGGAGGCCCCGAAGCGGATCGTATGATCCCGGGTCGACGGGTGCTCGGGGTCCCCCCCGCCCTAAGATGGGACGGGCCCCAGGGTTTCACAGGCCCCCCCGCCCCAGACGGGATGGATGGGAGGGGCGACGACGACGCCGACGCCGACGACGACGACGACGACGACGACGACGACGACCAAGACGACGACGACGCCGACGACAACGACGCCGACGCCGACGCCGACGCTGGCGCCACCGACGACGACTACGACGACGACGACGCCGACGACGACAACGACGGCGCCGCCGCCGCCGCCGACAACGACGCCGACGCCGACGCCGACGCCGACGCCGACGCCGACGACGACGACGACCAAGCCAGCAACTGGGACGGACGACGCGACCGACAACCGACGCGACGCTGGCGCCACCGACGACGACTACGACGACGACGACGCCGACGACGACGACGAACGACGACGGCGCCGCCGCGGGACGACGACGACGACTGCCGAAGCCGGACGCCGACGCCGACGCCGACGCGACGACGACGACCAAGACGACGACGACGACGACAAAGACCGACAACGACGCCCGACGCTGACGCCACCGACGACGAATACGACGGACGACGACACAACGGCGACGACGTGACGACGACGACGACGGGCGCCGCCGCCGACGACCGACGACGACGCCGACGCCGACGCCGACGCGACGCCGACGACGAGGACGCACGACGACCAAGGACGACGACGACGACGACGACGCCGACGACTACGACGACGACGCAGACGCCGGACGATGCTCCACCGACGACGACTACGACGACGAAGACGACGACGACGCCGGACGACGACGACGAGACGACGGCGCCGCCGCCGCGACGACGACGACAACGACGCCGACGCCGACCCGGACGCCGAGGACGACGACGACGCCGACGCCGACGCCGATGCCGACGACGCGACGACGCGACGACGACGACGCTGACGACGACGACGACGACGCCCGAGCCGACGCCGACGATGACGACGAAAGCCGACGACGGACGACGACGATGACGCCGCGCCGGACGCCCGACGCCGACGCCGGGCGCCAATGCCGACGGGGATGCCGACGCCGGACGCCGACGACGACGACGATGCCGACACCGACGACAACGACGACGACGAACGACGACGACGCTGACGACGACGACGACGCCGACGACGACGACGCCGACGCCGACGCCGACGCCGACGACGCCTTCGCCGTTGCCGACGCCAGCGCCAGCGCCGACGCGGGACGCCCCGACGCCGACGCCGACGACGACGACGACGACGACGACAACGACGACGACGACGACGACGACGACGACCGCGACGCCGACGACGACGACGACGACGGCGCCGCCGCCGACGACGACGACGCCGACGCCAACGCCGACGCCGACGCCGACGCCGACGCCGACGCCGACGCCGACGCCGACGCCACCGCCGACGCCGATGCCGACGCTGGCGCCGACGCCGTCGCCGACGCCGACGCCGACGCCGACGCCGCCGCCGACCGCCGACGACGACGACGACGACGGGTGGGGGGTGGAAGGGGACGACGACGACGACGCCGACGCCGACGGCCGACGCCGACGCCGACGCCGACGCCGCGACGCCGACGCCGACGCGCCGCCGACGACGACGACGACGACGACGACGACGACGACGACGACGACGACGACGACGACGGCGACGACGACGACGACGACGACGACGCCGACGCCGATGCCGACGACGACGACGACAACGACGACGACGAGGACGACGCGAAGACGGCGCCGCGCCGACGACAACGACGACGACGCCGACGACGACGACGCCGACGCCGACACCAAGGCCGACGCCGACGCCGACGCCGCCGCCGCCGACGACGACGACGACGACGACGCCGACGCCGACGCCGACGACGACGCCGACGCCGACGCCGACGATGACGCCGACGCCGACGCCGACGCCGACGCCAGCGACCCACCCGCGACCCACCCCGCGACACACCCGCGACCCACTCCGCGATCCATCCGCGACCCACCCGCGACCCACTTGCAACCCAACCCGCGACCCACCCCGCGTCGCACCCACGACCCACCCGCGACCCACCGGCGACCCAATAGCCACCCACCCGCAACCCACCCGCGACCCAGCCGCGACCCAGTTGCGACCCACCCGCGAACCACCTGTGACTTGCCCACATTGGTTTAACAAAAACATCGGCGCCTGCGGCGGGCTCGTTGCACCCCGCGACCCACCTGCGACCCACCCGTGACCCACCACGCGACACACCCGCGACACACCCGCGACACACCCGCGATCCCCCACCCCGCGAACCACCCCGCGACCCCACCCTTGACCCACCCTGCGACAAAAACCCCGCGATCCGCCCGTGACCCACCCCGCGACCCCCACATTTTTTTTTCGGTTGGGTGTTGACCCAAACCCGACCCACGGCGACTCACCCGCGACCCAACCCCTCCCCCGGACCACCCGCGACCCACCCGCGACCAACCCGCGAAACACCGTGGCCAGCGGACCCACCGCGACCACGATGCGACCCACCCGCGGACCCACCTGCGACACACCAAATTTTCGGCTGCCTGCCGGCGGGTTTCTTTGCATTCGTTCCAGGTGGAGAACCTGCGACCCCACCCGCGACCCAAACCGCGCCCGCGACCCACCCGCGACACACCGCGACCCACCCGCGACCCACCCCGCGACCAACCCAAAATTTTCGGCGCCTGCGGCTGGCTTCTTTTGCATTCGTTCCAGGTGGAGAACCTGCGACCCACCCGCGACCCAAACCGCGTTCAGTGTACAGATCAAAATTTTCAGCGCCTGCGGCGGGCTGTTTTTGAAATCCTTCCAGGTGGAGGTGCAGAGCCCGCGACCCATCCGCGACCCAAACTACGTTCACTGAACAAGCCAAAACTTCGGCGCCTGCGGCGGGTTTCTTTTTGCAGTCGTTCCAGGTGGAGAACCTGCAACCCAAACCTCGTTCAGTGTACAAATCAAAACTTTCGGCGCCTGCGGCGGGCTGTTTTTGAATTCCTTCCAGGTGGAGGTGGAGAGCCCGCGACTCACCCGCGACCCAAACTACGTTCACTGAACAAGCCAAAAATTCGGCGCCTGCGGCGGGCTCTTTTTGCATTCGCTCCGGGTGGCCCACCAGCGATCCCCCCCGCGCTGAATTTGTCAGAGCACGACGATGAGGACGAGGACGCGGACGAGGAAGAGGAGGAGGAGGAGGAGGAACAGGAGGAACAGGAGGAGGAACAGGAGGAGGAACAGGAGGGCGCCATCGACAGGGAAGGTGAGGGCCACGAGGTCCGCCGGCTCGACGCCCGCGTCGCCCGCGCTCGCCCCCCCACTCTTACCCGCAATTGCGGGGTGCTGCGTACGATTCCTGCGCGACCTGCCGCGGAAAAACTGTGCCCTCGCCCGGGAACCCCGAACTTCGTTGTCCCCGGGGAATCATTTCCAGGAGTGGTCGGTTATCGATACACGTCCTCCTGCGAAGGTGCTGGTGGGCAGCGTGGACGACCTCGCGCCTGGGCTGGCGG